CTACTGTATCTGGCTGGTGCAACAAGACCGGACATTGCGTATGCTGTGAATATTCTGAGCAGACACCAACAGAATCCAACTGAACTAGAATGGAATATGATAAAAAGAGTATTTAGATACTTGAAAGGTACAAAATCCTTAGGATTAAATTACGGTGGCAAACGAGACGATTTGGTGGCATTCTCCGATGCGAGTTTTGCGGACTGTAAAGATTCAATTTCTACCTGCGGTTATATAATACAACTGTTTGGTGATACGATCTCTTGGAGAACAACAAAACAAAGTTATGTAGCCCTCTCCACCTGTCAAGCTGAGTATGTGACAATGAGTCAAGTGTGTAAGGAAACAGTCTCAATAAATAAATCAATTCAAAGGATCTTGAACGACAGTTTTCTTCCAGCAACTTTATATTGTGACAATCGAGCAGCGATCTTTTGTGCCAAAACAAGTGGTGGAAACAAATTAAGACACGTGACTGAGGTACACGAAGACTACGTCAAAGAATGTGTAAAACACGAAAGAATAGTAGTCCAGTGGGTACCGTCTAAAGAACAGTGGGCTGACATGACAAAACCACTTAGCTTTGAAACTTATACGAAATTACGTAACAAAATATTGAATTACGACTGTTCTGTTTTCTAGATTTATGTAAAGAATAAGTAAGTTTGGATTTGCCAACACGGAGAAACGAGAGAGGTACAACCTCGGGAGGGAGTGTTGGATTTGAGTATCAGCGCCAGTGGCGCTTCTCCCTCGTGGCAGCTCATTGTAGCTCGGTTGACCTCTTATCTGATTCCCCCAACTTTTCTATTCATTATACCTCCGACTGTCGTTGGTGTCGGATCGTCGTATCTAATAAAGGACTGTCTTACAAGGATATACGTTTCGTTGTCTGCTTTCACCATACCCAAAACCGTCAAAAATTAAATAAATCGGAAACTAACTTTCAGAATCAAAATCTTCGTTGTGAGGACTGCATTTTGGGTAAAATGCACAGATTGCCTTTTCCGAGGAGTGACACCAAGTCTGTACGAATAGGCGAACTCATACACGCGGATTTGTGTGGTCCGATGCAAGAAAATTCTCTAGGAGGCGCACGATATTTTCTTTTACTGAAAGATGACTATAGTCATTGGAGAGCGGTATATTTTATCAAATAAAAATCCGAGACGACCTACTGCCTGGAAAATTTCTTGTTAGGATATGCTGGGATAAAAGCAGTAAAACCCTTTTATATTAATGAGGTTTACTAATAAGTATAGGAACGTGTTACCTCTTACAGAGCTTAAACCGGAAGTGAGGTTAGTGAACATAAAATCATAGAGTCGCAGTAGTCTGAATATCTCAAACTTAATGGCGCGTATTTTAAAACAGTAAAACAAATACAAAGTATGTATGTAATGATTAGATTATCTTATATGTAATGATTAGATTATCTTAACATTTCTTCAAGAAAATGGATAAGCATCTAGAAAAAGGGATTAAATACCTGCGGACAGATAATGGACTGGAATTTGCAAATCAGAAAATCGACGATCTGACACATCGCTATGGTATTACACACCAAAAAACGGTACCATACACTCCTGAGCAAAATGGAGCTATTGAACGTGATAATCGAACTGTCGTCGAGCTAGCCAGGACATCACTTCATGCGAGCGGATTACCGATCAAAATGTGGGCTGAAGCGGTCAATTACGTCGTGTATACGCTCAATCGAACAGGAACCAGCAGCAGGAAAGAAATGTCCCCTAGTGAATTATGGCTCAAGAGGAAACCAAAACTTACAAGTCTCAAGATTTTTGGAGAAGAAATCTATTTCCACATTCCAAAGGAAGGAAGGCGTAAATGGGACGTCAAAGCTGAAAAAGGTTTTCTTGTAGGTTATGATGAAAATACGAAGGGCTATCGTGTCTGGCTTCAGGAACGAGATCAAGTTAAAATATTTAGAGATGTTGTATTTACCGGTCGGCAGTATAAACATCATCTGATAGAGAAGAAATCAACTGAATCCGAAATAAGTTTTGACTGCAGTATCAAGGATACAACAACACAGGATGAGGAGTTGAGATCAGTTCAAGTGCAAGACCTTCCACAAGATAGTAGCGATTACAGCGATGCAGAGGATGATCTACAAAATGCAACCGAGAAAGAGAAAACTAACGAAGATGGGAAGAAAAAGGAATACCAGCTGAGAGATCGCAAATCGATAAAACCACCGGACAGATATTGTAATGCATGTATATCTGTTGTAGATTATAAAGAACCAGAGTCATATGAGGAGGCAATTACGAACAGCGATGCAGAAAAATGGAAAGAAGCTATGGGCGACGAGATCAACTCCCTGAAGAAGAATCAAACCTGGACCCTAGTAAATCCACCTGATGATCAACAAGTTATCGACAACGTTGGATATACAAAATCAAGCAAAACTCTGACAGCAGCGTGAAGCGATTTAAAGCAAGACTTGTGGCTCGAGGATTCAAGCAAACAGCTGGCATCGATTACCATGAGACATTCGGTCCAGTGACGAGATTTGATTCAATCCGAATTGTTTTATCTGTTGCAGCCGCTAAAAACATGTATCTTCAACAATTTGACGTAAAAACCGCCTTTTTGTACGGAAAAATCGACGAAACAATCTACATGCAGCAACCAAAGGGGTATGAAGATGGAACTAAACGAGTCTGCAAATTGAACCGCAGCCTGTATGGTTTGAAACAAGCATCTAGATGCTGGAATCATCGTTTCACAACCGTGTTGGGAAAATTTGGACTGTATCCGACAAACGCGGACCAGTGTGTATTCACCAATCGGGATGTGAAGAAACAGCTGATCCTGACAATACACATCGATGATGGAATGATTGCTGCTGTGGAACAAGACAATTACTCACTTGTTAAACCAACTACGAAAAGAATTTGACATTACATCAAGTGAAATAAATGTGTACTTGGGTCTGCAGATAGAGCGACTACCGGATGGCTCTATATTTATGCATCAAGAAAACTATGCCAGGAAAATCTTACATCGTTTCAAAATGGAAGATGTTAATGCAGTTGCAGTTCCAGCAGATCCGCATCATCAGATGTGTCCAGACATACACAAGAATGGACACCAAGACGCTGCGAATTGTCCATATCGTCAAGTCATAGGTAGCCTCATGTACTTATCAATAGGTACACGCCCATCAGATATAACCTTTTCCGTAAATAGTGCCAGCCAATATCTTGAAGAACCGAAGAAAATTCACTGGAATGCCTGCAAAAGAATTCTAAAATATATGAAAGGGACCGTAGATCATGGACTCTATTTCCCTGCAAAGCAGAATAACTATCTTCAAGCATTTAGCGACGCAGACTACGCCGGAGATGTAGAAACGAGAAAATCAACGACAGGTCTTGTAGTAAAACTGGGTGAAGCGACAGTCGTCTGGAGTTCATCAAAGCAAAAGGTCGTGACGTTATCTACTACCGAAGCGGAATATGTAGCAGCAAGCCAGACGGTTAAAGAAATCATATGGGTAAAGAGTTTGCTCTCTGATCTAGCTCTACTCAATGATCTGGAAACAACTCTCCATATAGATAACATGAGTGCAATAAAACTCATTAAAAATCCTGAATTTAAACAGAGAAGTAAGCACATTGATGTGCGTTATCACTTCATACGCGACAAATACAAAGAAGAGGAATTCATTCTGGAGCACGTTGCATCGAAGAATCAGCAAGCTGATTTATTAACCAAACCTTTACCAAAGATGACGCTTGAAATGCAGAAGATGTTAAATATCTTGAGCAGAAGAGAAATCAACCCGAAGATCAACAAATAGTTTTTTTTTAGATTTTTGTAAAAGTACTGATGTACCTTTTGAGAGAGTCATTTAAATTTTCAGTTTTATTTCTTTTAGTGGGAGTGTTGCAATAATGTTTAAAAAGAAATACTAGAATTTAGTTTTATAGTATTACAAAGTTTAATCTTATTTTCTTAGTTGAATCTCCCGCCAATTTAATCAGCCGTGATACTGTTTTGTTCTTTTGTTTTTTCTCACTCACTGCTTCTCTCTCGCTCTGTCGTTCACGTTGCTACGAGTGTAGAACTTATAATAAATCGTTCCTTTCACAATCAATATTGAGGTTTAATCCCTACACTGCATTCTCATCAACTATCCTTTTAACCACTAGCTTCTCCTTCACCCCTCCCCCTCCCCCTCCACCCCCTGTCCCTTCTCCTCTTCCTCTCCGCTCTCATCGTTTCCTCCCTCCGTCTTATTCTCCTCTATTTCCTTCTTCTTCCCCTTCTCTCTCCTCTGACTCACTCCTCTCTCTCTCCCGGTCAATGTCTCCGCTTCCTCTTCCTCCCTCTCTCCTTTTCTCCTGTCTCCGCTTCTCTCATCTCTCCTTTACTCGTCTTCCATTCCTGTCACCTCCTCTCACCTTCTCACTCTCCATTGCGCATTTCCTCCTTTCCTCCTTCACCTTTTCTTTTTCCTATTCTCTCGCTCTCCTCTCTCTCTTCTTCTCCTTCCTCTCCACTCCTCTCTCTCTCCCGGTCCTTGTCTCCGCTTCCTCTTCCTCCCTCTCTCCCTTTCTCCTGTCTCCGCTTCTCTCATCACTCCTTTACTCGTCTTCCATTCCTGTCGCCTCCTCTCTCTTTCTCACTCTCCGTTGTGCATTTCCTCCTTTCCTCTTTCGCCTTTTCTTTCTCCTATTCTCTCGCTCTCCTCTCTCTCTTCTTCTCCTTCCTCTCCTCTTCCTCTCCTGCTTCTTATCCTTCTCTCTCTCTCTCTTCCTTTTCTTCCGCTCTCTCCGCTCCTCCGTCTCCTCCTTAACTGTTCCCCCTGCTTCCTCCGCTTCTCATCTCTCGTTCTACTCACTTTCCTCTTCCCCTTTCGTTGTCCGTCTTCCTCTCCGTCCCCCTTCACCTCCTCTATCTCTCCTCTACCTCTCACCTCCCCCCTCTCTCCTCCTCCTCTTCATTCCTGTCACCTCCTTTCTCCGCCTTACTCTCCTCTGCATCTTTCCTTCTCCCCTCTCTCTTCTCCTCCATCGCTCTCCCCCGCCGATCCTCTTCGCTGTTCACTTCCTTCTTTCTGCCTGTGCCCCGTCTCCTTGTTTCCTATAACCTTCTTCCTGTCTCCATCTCTTTCACCTCTTCTTTTCTCGTCTCTTCCTTCTCCCTATCTTCCTCTCCGCTTCCTCTTTCGCCTTTCCTTCTCCTTTTCTTCCTCTGCTTTCCGTCTCTATTGTCGACTTTCCGCCCGCTAACCTCACTTCCGTGTGGCTTACGAGCACCGTCTGTCGCTCCTTCCGCTCCTTCCACACTCCAGTGCATCTACCCCTTCCTCTTCTCCTTTCTCCTGATCGATCCCTCGATTACTCGATCTCATCCATCAATCTGTGCTTTCCTGTCACTCTGCCTCTTCTCCTTCGACATTCGATTCTCTCCCTCCTCGTCCTTCTATTTCCTATCCCCTTCTCCCGTCCGTTCTTTTCTTCCTTCTCTCCCCGCGCTCATCGGTTTCCCGAATTCTCACCCTTTGCTATCTCTCGGATGTTCTCGTCCTCTCCTCCGCCTCTCCTCCATCGGCCTCTCCTCTCCACTCACTTTCCTCTTCCCCTTTCGTTGTCCACCTTCCTCTCCGTCCCCCTTCACCTCCTCGGTCTCTCCTCTACCTCTTACTTCCCTCCTCTCCCCTCCTCCTCCTCTTCACTCCTGTCACCTCCTTTCTCCGCCTTACTCTCCTCTGCATCTTTCCTTCTCCCCCCTCTCTTCTCCTCCTTCGCTCACCCCCGCCGATCCTCTTCGCTGCCGTCCGTTTTCTGTCCGCCAGCTCTCTCTTCCTGCACCCTCTCCGATCGACTCTCCGATCGACTATCGATCGCTTCCAACCGCTCCGTTCTCTGTCTTTCCTCTTCGATCTCTCGAGCTCTTCCGCCAATCCCCTCTTCTCTCTCCTATCGATCTCTCGTTCCATCACGCTTGATCTCGCGCGCTCTTCCGCCAATCCCCTCTTCTCTCTACTATCGATCTCTCGTTCCATCGTGCTCG